GCTGCTCAGCTCGGGCTGACTCGAACCGCTGTTGCTCAGAGCTCAAACTCTTGAGCGAGCTCTTAACCAACTGAGCCACTCAGCCGGCCTAAAAGCAATTTTTAAACAACTTTGGGGGTGTCCTGTATGAAGCCTGTATTTTCTACCACATCTATTAAAAGTTTAAAAAACAAACAAACAAACATGTATGGAGCCATCGCACAGAAAATCTGATAACTATACAGACTCTGTCGGCAGGAACCACGTTTTGATGTGTGTGACGCCCTGCAGTTGCACTGTACAACTAACAAATGCAACCAATACCAGGAACAGTCACATAGTCTTCCTAAAGTCTTATATTCAGGATCTTAAGTGAAATGTAAACTATTTCATCATATTATTCTGCCTAATTTCCCAGAGCCATTATTTCAATGGTGTACATGTATATGAATACTGTATCTTGTCATATATTTTTACTAACAAGCACTGCAAAGGATCAGTGGGTCACCATCAGTGTTCTCAAAAGGTCATGTTCTATGGCTAAATACATTTTTACATCGCTTAATGGCATTGCAGCCATGTCTTTAAAGAAACAAATACCATATACAACATTCTAAATGTACCAAGACATTTTATTTTAACTCATTCCTATTTACTTTAATTATATACTCAATATATACTAAGAACCCAGTCCTGTAATATACTGTCTACCTCAACTAAATCTATTTCTAAAAGAAAAATTGTTATAAAGTTGATAAACCTATCATCTTACCATTATTGCTAATATAATCTTCATGTAAAATAGGCAGATCAAGTCGAATTCGTTTTAAACAGGTCTGAAAATAAAGAGATTTTTTTTTTTTACATTTTCACTAATAACATTTGGGGGAAAATGGTCATTTATTTAATTCTGAGTTTCAAAAAAGTTGTTCTTCAAATAACTACTATTAATTTTTCTTCTCTCTACCAATACAGATTTTAAAATGAAGACCCCAAACAGCTACTTAGCCTTAACTAAATCTATCCCTGTACTACTAATATTTAACACTGTGAATGAAATCCATAATAAGCTCAACACCTACCTGAACTTCCTTTTTATTTCCCAGGTATTCCACTCTGTCAATAAAAGCCTCAAATTGCAGTTTAGGGAATAGCCTATGTGCCCAGTGCTCCATATGTCTGATTAGTGTCTTCAAGTCTTCAGCCTGGCACATAAAAATAAAAATGCTAAATAGAAAGCTCATTCTTGGAACTGACCTTGTCAGCATATTTTAGAATTGAATAGTAATGCCAAAGTCACTGGTGTCATTTTTCATTTATAAGGTGAAGAAACTTTAAGAAGAAAAATATCTATTAGAGGCTTAGAGGATTGTAGACTAAAAGAGCACTGAACAGAGACATTTTTTTTTTAAAATCAGAAGGTGGAAAAAACCCATATGAAAACTTAATAAAAGTTAAAACATAATCACATGCGTATTTTCAGAACTGTAAAGTAATACTAAAAATAAGCTTTAATAAAATATGTCAAGATATCTTTTAGGAATAACTAAACAAAGTGGCATGTCCCTAAATCATATATAGAGAAGAAAGCATTGAGGATTCAGCATTGTGAAAATATATTCTGAAATCCCAAGAGCAAAGTACCAAAGATCAGCAAGAACGGTTTCAACATTCTCAGGGCACAATACCTCTTTATATTCGAAATTTCAATTTAACATAAATTTTTTAAAAATGAAAATGAAGGGCCGGCCGAGTGGCGGGCGCGATGGTTAAGAACTGGCTTGGGACGCCAGAGGCCCCGGTTCGGATCCCACATATGAGGGCCAGTGACACTGCCCTC